GTTATTTATTTACTTCAACCCTGAGTGTATTTTGGAAGGAAAACGTATATTAATTTTACACTTCCATTTTGTGTGTCATTCATAATATTAATTTTAGCTCTTTACTGCTTGTTTAAAACAGATAGTAGGATATATATGAGTTTGGTTTGTACCAGGGTTAAGTCGATAAAGTTTAATGAAGGGTAAATTACTCGCTTCCGAAGATAATCAGCAATATATAAAATATTTAATTTTAATTATATTCATAAGTAGGACTTAATCAAATTAAAGGAAATGGTAACCCATAAATACAAAGAATGAGAAGAAAGATTTCTATTAGATTTAATAAGCATCTCTTAAATAACCTTAACTGTACTTCAATCCAAATGCAATATAAGAATTGGTTTTATAGAATTATATAGAAGTCTGGGCAAAAATAATTCTGCAGAATATATTGTTTTTAAGTAAAGAAGCATTTTCTTGTTACAATACAAAGACTATTCCGTATCTTACGGTATAAACCTTGTCATAAAGGAGAACTCACACGATATATGTTTTATTCATGGGCGGACGATTGCTTTAGCTCTTTCGTTACTGTAATGTACCCAGTTGGTGTTATCAAATGTATGAATTTTTAGAAAACCAATAAGCTCATATCCACTTCTTCAATTTTAGTAATAATAATAATTATTAAAACTAAACATTTAACATTTAAACGTAATAACTAAAAACTATAAAGAAATTAAATATAAAATTGTCTTTTCTTTGTTCTCACATGTAAAATGTCATAAAAAATATAACGGCAAAATTTGCGTGGAAATTTTTTGAGGTAATTTTGGAACTCAATAAAATCCTTTCTTGACAGTCTTATTAAAGTTATAATATATAAAATATTACACAACTTCGTTCGAATTTTTTTCGTGTAATTAATTAAATAGTAGGATGTCTATTATACAGCAGAATTTCATTTTGAAAGCATAAAGGTATATGCTGTTATACACGTGTTTTTTCTTCATACTATACACTTCTATTGACTTTTCATTTCTCTTTAATTTAAACTCCATTCTGTGTCGTGTAAATAAAACGTGGAAGTATAAAGAAACGCGTTTCAATGCCAGCTGGCTGACATTTTGTTTTGAATAAATAGAAAATACTTAATTGCATTTTAATTAAAAATTAAGTTTGTGATATTGTGATGATATTAAATAAAATGGACATGACTACAAAAAATATAAGGACTTCAATGTATGTGTGTTTTACATCTACATTCAAAGTATGTTACATAAATGAGTAATTTTGTTCTCATATACCTTTTTAATTCAAATTATATATTTAATTATTTATTTATCACTCTGTAAGGTCTCACATTTTTTATAGTTTTTAAATAAAACGTTCTGATACAAAATTCCAAAGAAATTCTTTATATTTTACCATTTAGCATATTTGTGACCATTCCTTTTTAAATCAAAACTAACTAAATATATTATGAAACAAGTATAAAAATGAACACTAAAATTTTAAACAAAATTTATAATGTAATCCCAACGAAAAAACTTTTACTTCTCCAATCAATCAATCTTCGATTATTATAATCGGAGTTATCGGAAATACCATCGAATTTTACAAACTTGAATTGAGTTCCTCCTGATAAAGCCATGAAAATTTAAATTAGGGTATGAACTAACTTCAAAAATTTTTTTAATTATTATCTAAGAGATAGACAATAATTCAGCCGTATCTAGATATGATTTCTCACTAAAATATGAGTGTCAAATACAAAAGGGTTTATATATTCACAACTGCAATATTGAAATCCACAGAATATTCCCAAATGTACAGCTTGAAGTCAACTCCACTCTAAAGCTTCAGTTCTCTAAGCGAGCAATTAATTTGTGTTAGCCAAGCTCCTAATGTCTCTGAAGCAACTCACGATAGTGGTTAGCTATTTCTCAACTATTCTGTAAACACATGAAATTGACTATAATTGACCTTTAAACTTATCAAAGTTTAATGACGGGGCAATGAGTTCGGTACAAAATTTTAATGTACGTATTTGTTTTAACGTATCAAATCGGTTTATCGTGGATAATATTAAGTAAAATATTACTGAAGATGAATTGTTATGAAGACTTTATATTATATGGTTTAATATTAGATATGATGGAGATTACTAACGTCTAACTAATTGAGTCAATAAGCGGTTCATTTTATAAAGTCGAATAAATGATATTATTTATCTTTCTATTTGAGCGACCTACATAGACTGTTATTTTTAGACGATAATTTCTTAATTTAAAATCCAGCTGATAGTAGTTTTTACGCGATGTTTCCTATGACTACGACCATAAGAATCAAGCATCGGATTAGATTTTCGAAAGTTGATATAAAAATAAGCTTTTATTTAGTTTTTCTTTACTAAGAAATATGTTTCAATTCCAAATATTCTGACCTGAATTTTGAAAAGATGACATTTCAAATAAGCCTTCGTAATAAAAAATTAATTCCCATTTACTTTACTAGGCGTTAAGACTTTTACGGCCATCACTTATTCGAAATTGTTCATTTTAGTATGAAATATTCAAGTAATTAATTGACATTTTATCATTGACATTAGACTAATTAAATTATTTTCTATAAAACTATGAAAATTATTAAAGTAAAGGATTTAGAAAAGCAAGTCTAGAAACTTCTATATATCGTGATTCATTCATACATAGTTTTGCATGTTAAAGTATAATGTGATACGCATATTACTGCATTATTTTGCCATTAACCTATTTCTTTATGGTAACCTTTTACGGTTGACCTTTTACCTCCATTTGCGATTGTTGTTTTACTTAAAAGTTTCGGGTTTGTCCTTTAAAAATAGTGTTCTTTTTAAATGGAGATTTTACTGTCATGTTTAGTTTCTAGAGCGACATTAAGATTGGTTTGTTTAATAATGCATTCGGTGAATTATGTGATTTTAAAATACATATACATATATATTCTTTAAAATATTTCGTTGTATGGCTTGAATTATATTATACTCAGTATACATCGAAATTCATCTCTTCTGTATAAGTTCGCTTCACAGACTGTCATTACTCACGTCGTACCCACATGTTGTTAAATATTAGCGACTTTAACGCATTTGTGTTGCATATTGTCGTCGATATGTTAACTCGGACACATGCTATCAACAAGTGTCCAGATTAACATAAATACCGGATTCCATCCTTCCGTTATGGCGCCAGAGGGAAAAGCCCAAATTTACGCGACCTACTGGCACAAAATGTATTGTAATGTTATACACATTTATTTATAACTTACGGCTCATTGATTTATTGGAACCCTCAAAATTGAATTTGGAAAACTTATTCTATATTGTGCCATCAGAAAAATGTCACTAGGATTAAATTACCTCTGCTTATTTATTAATAAGGGAACATTTATAAATATTTTAAACGAAGCACAGTTCTGGTCATAAATAAAATTATAAAAGAATTCCAGTGGGGTTAAACAAAGGTACATTGTTTAAAACTGTGGCCAAAGCCGTTGGCTTACTGTACTATCTCAGAGGTACAGTCATATTTTCAACTCAGCCAAAGCTAATCCTCACCAACAAATAAGACCACGTGGAAGCGTTGACAAGTGAAATATTACACATCGTTAAAATGGACCATTTCATTTCTATTATTTAACATTTTATGTTTTGATTTTACTTTTTCTATTGTGAAATCAATGAAGCAAACTGGTTACAAGCGCTCGGGTGGCCTCCTGTCTTTTATTCTTCCTTTCTTTGTTTTTCGATATCAATATTATTTTGTATTCGATCCAAGTAATTGGTTATTATGCGACATTTTTGTATATAAATTAATTTCTTTTCATCTGAAAGAAAGGTCCATACATAAAATATGGATTGTCAGTGATTTATGTTAAAAATATTAATATTGTTGTAATTATATTCTATATCTCAATGTAATATTAATCGTGAAGAAAAAATTTGTAAAATCTAAATTTTCTCTAAAGCTATAAGAAATGTTACAGCTTCAAAAGTAGTAGTAGTAGTACTTCTGTACCCATTATATTAAAAAAATTGGAAAAGGTGTCATTGAGTTTGGTTTATAATAATTTACTATGTGTGTATGTGATAACAAGTGATTCTTGTTCAGTAAGTGGCATCATGTTTGAATGTATTTTAAAAGTAAAAATTGACCAAAAATAATTATATTAAGATATTGTCTATCTGTGATCGATACAAAACAATGATTAAAGTATAATGTTTCACGTTGACATTAATTACGCTAGCTGTACAAATGTACGAAGTCTAGTTAAAATGTAATTAATATTATAAATAAACCGAAAAACTTAATCATGTTCATACTATATTCAACAAAAAATGTATAATATAAAACAGTGTATTCTATAAAACAAGAAATCTTGAGCGTGAAACTTTCCCTTATCTGGGATGCAAAACGTGGATCATGTCTTCTTCATTTAATACTGTTACAGTGAAGTTTGTCGGATTTGTAATAATATAAGCTGCATTACCACTGGGACAATTTATTTGACTCTTCAAACTTGATGAATTTAATTGAATTATTCATAATGGACAGCTTTCTTAGGAAAATGACTTTATGGTTGGACTCGTTTTGTTCTCGTTTTGGTAATTTTTATTATTTCGGTGATTGATTCAAGAGATTATCTTGACTTTAACATATATGTTTGCAAAGTTCGAAATAACTTGATAAATTGTTCTTTATAAGTTTCGAACGATAGACGTAGTGCTATTTTGTGTTTTAGCAAAATTATGAGGGTTGTTATATTCAACTATATAGCTTAATGTTATTGTGTTCTTTCTATTTTGTCTTTTATAAATCCAAAGATACGTACGGTTTGTCAGACATTTGTCAGTTTGTAAACAACTGAGAGTATAAGGTTTAATTGATCTCAAATTGTCACCAGTTGTAGGCCTTTTTTGATATTGTCTAAACTGAAACTACGACTATAATCTCAAATTGATTCCGAATTGTTCACAGTTGGGGGAAGGGGTGGAATTGACGTTGGGCGAGTTGCGAGCGATGGCGCTTCGACAACAGCAGCAGATAGACACTCAGCATCAGCTGCTCTGCGCCAAGGAACAGCGGCTGCGATATTTGAAGCAGCAAGAAGCGAGGCAGCATCAGGTTAGAATTAAACATAAAATATTCCTACTTCTAACCTATAGAACTGCCAATACTCTTTATGAAAGATACATAGTAAGACAATCAATATGTTAGTTTGTTATTAGTTTGGATGTACTATATGTAGGGGAGCATCTTATTTGCTATTATATATGAATACTTAAATTCGATGAGATTTTGCTTTATTATAACCAAAACAAAATATTACAATTAAAAATTATATCCATATTTTGTTAAGTTGTTATCCGCTTTTAATCCGAAAGAATTTCAGCCTTTACTTAAAAACCTATTTAGAAAACTATGACATAAAAAAACAGAATCCATTATTTCTGTTTCTCTGGAATCATAGCACTAAAACTAAAAGGGGCTTTGAAATTGGGAAAATGGCACCATTCGAAATAAGGCCAGGGCGCTGCCATTTCAATTTCACCCGCACTGTTTCATGAAAGAACACGCAGACTCCGAATATATCAAAATTAATACACTATGAGTCATAAAAATACGTCAAACATATACTTTTAATATATACTTTTTAAGATTTCAATAATAGAAGTTTTAAGGTATCAACATTTTTCATAAAATAAAATTTAAATAATGTCATCTTATCACTAATTACATGCCGATACAAAGTGTGGTTAATTGTGGCCAGCCAGACTTTTGTGGTAGAAATTTCAGTACGATAATATATTTTAATTATTTTATGTTTATTATTTGTGGCACATTATGTAATATCAAATAACTGTTATTGAAATACAGATATATGATGAAAACTTATTTATAAGGTACTTGTATCGACAATACCAGAAAAAATTTCATTAAAAAGTTATCGCTAGCTCATCATCAATGCAATGAATAAATCGTGTACAATTTATCTCTATATACATGTATTATACTTACGTTTATATTTTGGGATATATACAAGCGGAGTTTGCTAAGCGTATTTGAATTTCATCAATAAAAATATGATTGATATAATTATGATGAGTCTCATACTATCAATTTTAATATATATATATATATATATATATATATATATATATATATATATATATATATGTATTGAACGTATACAACAAGTCATTTATGTTAAAAGCCATCAGCTATTGCTTAATCTAATACGAATATAATCAGTGACATATAATTCGAGTAAATAAAATAAAGACAAGACGAACTCTTAAGCATTCGTCTTTCTGGATGAGGCACGGAGTAATCCTATTAACAATGCATAAATGTTGTGGGTAGGATTATATCCTCTAATAGCATAATAACTTTAAATAATCTGCCTTTTATGATAAGTCCCCAAATCCCTTAGCGGTAGTTATAATTCCATCTTTATTTAGCCGCTTATACAATATCTTTTATGATCAGAAAAAATGTCGGTCAAGTGCTTTCAAGGTTAAAAGGAGGTTTGAAGGCAACATAGTTGCAGAAGAAAATTATTTTGATATAATACCTAATTATACATACATACTTTATTTCAATAAACAATGTATCACTATTTTATTTCAATGCGTTGTTGATAATTTTACTGTGATATTTGAATGCATACTATAGATCATAATATATATAATTTAATATTGATGGTTGTGGATTTTGCCGTAAAAACTAGGTATATTAACTTAATATATTATATACCAGAACAATAATGGTAAAAAGTTTCGGTTGTGAAGTCTGGCCTCATGAAAGAAGAATAAATTTAAAAGTTTAAAACTCGGATTTAGTGTTAACATTTCCACCTTAATGTTCCTAAAGAAGGTATATTTTCGTTTGGCTCTTAAAAAGAAGTTGCTTAATATTCGCGAAAAGAATTGTTTTTTCTTGTTAATTGGCTTTCTTGGTTCATTATTCAAGAAGGAGATTCGACAATTTTGGTATAGAAATTTTTATAAAGCACTTAAAATGACAGAACATTGAGATAAACACAATATAAGAAATATGATAAGCGACTGTTAATTATGAAATTTTCTTAAAGATATTTGACCTAAATCTGTCAAATTTTCAGTGTCGTCTTTAAATAAGTTACAATAAGGAGGTATTTGTTTTTTCTTTACGTCACAAAAATAAAAGATTTATTTCTATACTTTTATAAATAACCATTCTATTTACTGGAAGAGGTTTAGTTTTAGACTATGGACGCTTCATTATGAAACAATGTTTTCCATAATTTTCTACTTAATTTAAATCTTTCACTAGAGTTTGTTTAAACGTAGATTTCTAAGCTAATAAATTATTATTTAGTTTCATCAAGATAGCTGAGTTTGTCTGTTAATTAAAATACGCAATTTTCATCTAGTTGTTTTTAGCAAAAACATAAATTAAAGTTATTTTTTTATAAAAAAAGTGTCCTATTTTAATAAAGATTCAGAAAGGTTAAATTAAATTAAAAACTTGAATAAACATCATAGAAGTACTACTCATTTTGTCATTGAATCCAGGTGATATATTCAGGTTAATTTATAGATTTTATTCAAATTATTTTATTGTGAAAAATTTAATTGATGAATTAAAATAGTTACAACGTTGTAGTAAACATAAAAATAATAAAAGGTAAAACAATAAATGACTGTACAAATATGTAAATAGCGTACGTAATGTAAATACAACATACAGAATAGACAAGTATTGAATTTCTATATTCAATATTTGGCTAGGTTTATTGTTGGGCAAAATTGTTTTCAGAGAAGCTTAATAAATCTCACCCTGTAGCCAGACGCCTTTAGGCTAATGCGATATTTATGGCGCGCCTAAAATAAACTCTTACCACCTTATAAATAAAACAAATATCTAATTTATATTTCATTCTTGTTTATATATTTTCCGTATAAATATAAGCTCTTTTAAAAATGATATCCAACAAGTCGACGTGACTTCTTAAATTTTGTTGGTCGATGTAAGGAGAGCTTGTTAATTTCAAGGACCTAAATCTAGGTCAGACTTTTCTGTTTAGGATTTCTAGGAATATTAAAGGCAGGAACTATTAACATATTACACAAAGCATAAAATAGAAGTAGAATTTCATGTTAATTTTAATACTAATACGTATTAAAGTTTTAGTATAAAACAGCGAAGAAGATATTTCATTATTTTGTAATATTAAATCTATAAGCTTTTTCAGCGAACTCGTTCATTACGTTAAAGACACCTAAATAAAATAGCAGTTTTTTTTATTTCCTGGAAGTCAAATACTACGTGTATTCGTTGCAAAATACAATGTTTTTAAACTCGATATTGTTTTTATCAATACAGAATAGTTTGCTGGGAATAATATTTAGTTTCAAAACAAATATTTATTTTTAACACCATCAAGGCAAAACAAATGTGTAAAAATATATGTATATTACTATGACAAATGGCTCGCTGCCCATCATGTCAAACGTATATTATGATTAATTGATCTATTTTTGTTAATAACTATTACAATATTTAATCCATGTAAAAAATCTAACAGGTGGCGGTGGAAGGTGAACGGTTGCGTCGTCTGCGCGAGCGCGTTGAGGCTCAAGAACAGAAATTGAGAAGACTCCGGGCTTTGAGAGGACAGTTGGACAGAAATAAGCAGGCGAATATTGCTCTCAGTAAGTTGTTAAAAAATATTCATGTAGAAAAGCCGTGGTGGCCTATTGGTTAAAAGCCCGGCTCTCATGTACGAGGGCGCGCGTTCGAAACCTGGTAAACCAATGTGATTTTTCGGAGTCATATGACTCGGAATACATATGTACTTTCTAAGAGTATTTCGACAATACTGACAGACGGTGTAGAAGAACATTGCGAGGAAATCTGGACTTATAAATTCCAATTATAAGTTAGAAATCGCCAATCCGTCTTGAGCAAAACGTGGTGGTTAATGCTCAAATCTTCTCCATGTGAGGAGAGGCCTTTGCTCAGCAGTGGGCTCTGATAGGCTTATGATGATGATTTAGACTGGATTGCTATCTCTACATCTTAATAACGACTATTCATATTTGAATCCAGATTCATAACCATGGATTTACTTTGTTGCTTCAATAGACGAGTGTATTTTTTCCATCTATAAAGTACATCACTAGAATATACATGACTTATAAATATATTCAGTAGTTATAAAATAAACAATAGCACTACTTCAGATGATTGTTTCACAAAAATATATGTTTGATTTAAAACATTTGATTATTTTCTTTTACATTGAACTCAATGTCTAATTTACAATATGATTTCATAAAACTGTTTTGAGCTCTGCGCTATTTATATCACGTTTTAAGAAAAGAAATACAACCTATGCTTCGTTTTCTCTGAAATTTACGTAATTTCTGACAACAACAAATAAAATTATTATTATTTAGCTGAATAATTGTTCATTAATTAAAGTTTTCAGAGCAAAATGTGAATATAAATCACAATCAAGTTTGTTAAAATTTGTTAAAAAAATATTTTTTAAGTTTATCATTACGCTTATAAAAAGAATGAATGCAAATAATTTTGGATAAACATTGTAATTTCTTAATATTATATTGATAAAATATATCGTAGAATAATGGAGAAAGAATGTCATTATATTTATTTTTAATTTTCTATCCTACATAATTATGTATTATTAAAAAGTTAAAATTAAATTCAAAAATTGTATTGACTTTTAATTAGCACTGAAGATTTAGTAAGAAGAATGTAAAGTTAATCTTTAGTAGGTGTTGCTGCAGATAAATAATACAAAATATAATAAATTCATAAGCTCAAACAAATTTAATAAAACATGAATTTATAATTTTAAATCCAAAAGTTTCGTCGAAACATGAGGTCATTTCTTGGGAGCGCCAAATCGATAAGCACTCTTTCATTTAGTAGAAACGCTAACAAAACATCGATCAATTCACTGACAGTTTTATTCGTATACCTCTCTTTATCTTTAAAAACTGTATAAAAATATTCAAAACCTGATCATTATATTTAAAGTAACAAATTTTGCAATTCTTATATAATTCATAATTAATATCGTAACTATAAAATCCACCTGTACATCAGGGTTCTGTCAGCTGTCGCCTTCGGGATCACAATTATAATGCCTTATTTACGAAGCCTCCATTCGAGACTAGAATAAGAAACTTAATTAAACTTCAAAGTGATAAAAAATGTCAACGGGTACTGTCGCCTAAATTACCTTTCGGCGTTTTTGTTAAATGAAAATGTTTTTATGATGTTTATTTTTCATTAACGATGCTGAAATGATTTTCTAAAATGTATATTAGTGGCTTATAAATATTTGTTAAAGACCTCAATCTAATTATGTAATTGAGAATGTTAAAGCCTGAATTCATAGTTATAGGAGAAGTTCTTACATTTAGAACCTTGGAGTGTCATCCCGAAGACACCATTAGTATGACAAGATTCGCCAGAGATTAATTGCATCTATAATTGTCTACCAAATGCAGGCTCGCATTGCGGTAGGTAATATCAGTATATTGTAATACCGGAGTTGACAGTTGACGACTAGAATTACACTTCAGACGTTCAGTGTTATGTATCTGACTAAGGAATGGTATCATAACGGTATATTCAAAGCCATAAAAATTGTATAATTAGAAAAAACTATGGCAAAAGCTTTATAAAATATTCATTTCAGCAAAAGAATTACAACTATTTAATTAAGTGAAACGATGAAATGTTTTTTCCATTTATTATTTAAAATCGTTTACTAGGTACAAGTGTAGTACTCGTATAGTTTTAATATTGAGAACATTTTTCATACAATATTGAAATACCAGAAGAATTGTCATAAAATGAACCCATATATTCAAAAGACCAAATGACAAAAAATATTGCATAACTTGTCGAAAGATACAAATCATAATACAGAAGACGATATCAGATGCGTTATTAAAACACATTAAATTTTATTGATATCTTTAAGTATTAAAATACATGGATATCATTATACGTATCAGATATGGGTTAAAGTTTTTTAATTACGAAAACGTTGCTCTAAATATATCTGGAAACAGTACAGTAGTCGAGCTATCGATATGCAGTTACAGATAAAGCCACTCCTTATGTAAGTGATCACAAATGGAATGTCAATTCAGATGCTGTTGTTACGTGTTCAGACTTGCGGAACTGAGTACAGGCTCGATACTATACGAATTTGATTTACTGATCCGTAATTAAAAATTCACTCGACAATCTCCTGCTTGTTATTTGAACAAAATTTTCCGCATCAGATATACTGAAATCGCATTCGATAGAATTTATATGTATTTTATTTTAAAAGATTAATTTAATTTTTCATTTCATTTATACAGAATAAATGCTTGTTTATTTTTATGGAAAATTTTAATAATTAAAATAGCAAAATGATTTTCACAACACTGAACTAATAAAATATTTATGAAATAACAAGAAATGTTTGTTTAAAAGAAATATGAAGAGCTTTGAGTGTTATTATGATTTTAATGTAAATATATTTTATGTTGTTAGAAAGATTTCTATTTCGCATTTATTCACAGATGATTTTAACATCGGAATTAAATTGTCAAAGTTCCTTGAAAGCAATATCTAACTGTCGTATCATAAACAAAAGTAGGCGTGTGTTTTTGTACTCCTCCTTTGTTTTATGAGAAATGATCTATGAATTTAACATCCTTATTTGGAGATGATTTAATATACGCTCGATGCCACAAACGTCTAAATAGAACAATCTAGATCGAATTGCGATCTAGTTACGTATTAACATATTATGACACTTTGTTAAATAATATCTATGGACGTTTCCATTTGTTTATCGATCTGATAATTGCTCCTCACAAAGTTACTAAGCAACGTGATATAGCAAACATTTCGATTTAATTTTAAACTTGCTTTCTTTTATTTTGTAGACAGAATAATTCATTTTTATATTCTTTATATACTTGTGAATGAATTTGAAAACTAATTATTCAACTATTTACAGTTTCTGTTTGATAAATAGCTAGTAATATATTTTGAACTCTGCTATTCTTTTAAAAATAAGTTTTGTTTTAAACATGGCGTTTTCCCTTGTTTGTATGTTTATTTCAGTTTAAAATTAATTATTAATATATTCTCACTTATTTTACAACTTTTTGATATCTTTACGTGATGATATTTAATAATTTCTTCACCATTTTTATTCACATTCATTGCTTAAATCTAAAAAAAACAATTATAGAGAAAAAGAAAAATATTCCAAGTGAATATATGTGACCTTTAATTAGTTTTAGGTTAACTATACCGTATGACAATAAAAGTTAGAAAAATAATAATAATTATTGTTTTTTTTTACTATTAACGTTTGAATAGAAACATTTTTTTATATTTGGCGAATTATCTGTTTTAATTTTTTTTTTGATGCTTTCAAAACTTTAATATGCACATAGTATGTAAATGCTTGCAAATAAATAATTTTTAATAAAATAACTATCATTTTACCAAAAGATTAAATTTGAGGATATTTAAGTATTTTATAATTTTTATTTGTATATGTGGTCTTCATAAATTCATAGGTTTGGTGGTGAAATTGCTGGGCTGTTGTAAACTTAAAAGTTATGTACTATTTGATTTAAGGCACTGCGACATTATATAGCATAAAAAATCATTGAAACTGTTTATATTTTAAAAATGAGTTTCTCAGCATTTGATTATTCCTGATACAATAATCTTTTCAAATAAAAGATCGACTTAAATTCGTTTTATAATTGTAGAAGTTATTTGACATAGATTTTATATAATATAAAATACAGATATTGAATATTTCATAATTTTCCGATTCGAAGTAATTAGAACACGCCCTTCATAAAAATTATTGCCAGAAATTAACTTTGTTTCTAAACTAAATTAAACTTTTTATAAAGATCAGTCAATAAAATTCCAATACTTTGGCCTACATAAGAAAAAATTCTCATTAACTTAAAAGAATACCATTTCACTTCAATTTATACGGTTTGTTAATAAATTTTCAATGCTTAATTTTGTTTTGACGAGTTACCATAGTTTTTAACAATGTTTTTGAGTGATAGGGAGTTGAAGGTATTTGAAATACTATGTAATTACTTAGTTGATATAAACAATTTTATTACCCAAATAAGTGTTCCGAGAGCGGTGATAAAAAGATCTTCTATGTGATTGTAACGTTTACGACATAAAGGTCGCGCGAATGTTTCTAGGAATGTGATTCCTTAAAAAAATGTTTTAGTTATCGTAATAATAATATATATTAAATAATATACATATTTGAATGATAATATAAATATAGTTTGAGATATGTATGTGGATATGAAAGAATTAATCCAATTATTATAATTCTGCCCTTTAATTCGACCCTTTTAACGTTAAATCGAACGAATATGAAAGTTTTCCACCGTCCTTCATCAATTAACAAAAGCACTTTTAGGGTAAAGTGAAATAGTTATTATATATTCCAAAGCCAGTAAGGATGGTTTTAAATATGGTATTATTTTTAATACTCTCATTCCAAGGATGGAACAATTATGTTAAAAAACATTGTTAAGAATATAAAATTTTACAAAACGTGTTTTTTTATTAATTTAAACTTAGTTATAATGGTTTATCATCGATTTCCCTTGCTTTCGGTACTTATCGGTATATATAAATTATATATATACGTATAGTATTATTTTTAATATATGGAATTTATTGGAACCTTGGGTTTATAAATAGCCATGTCTTGTATAACTTTTGTATGTTCATTTAAAAGAAAGTATTCTTACATACATAGATATAAAAGCGTCGTCATCAGCCTATCAGCGCCCACTGCTGAGCAAGGCCTCTTTCTCACATGGAGAAGGTTTGAGTATTAATCACCACGCTTGCTCAAGACGGGTTGGTGATTTCAAACTTATAATTGTGAAATTATAAGTCCAGATTTCCTCACGATGTTTTCCTTCACCGTATGTCAGTGATGTCTAAGTACTCTCAGAAAGTACATGTGACTCCGAAAAATCACATTGGTATTTGCCAGGTTTGAACCCGCGCCCTCGTCAACGAGAGGCGAACCCCTTAACCACTAGGCCACCACTGAATGATATAAAAGCAAAGTTTTTAAAAATACAGATATAAATATCTGTATTTTTTTTTAAAGCAAAGTTTTTAAAATACAGATATTTATCTGAAGGTTTGAGAATTTTTACGTTAAATGTAAGGTTTTAATTCAAATCCTTCTTTTAAAACGATATTAGAGTCTTAAAACCATGTCGAAAAATGCTGAAGATAGTTGTTTCTATTCAAGTATATCAAATTTATACCGAAAATAATAGGCTGTCATACAGTAATCTCTTGTTTTCGTCCTTTTTATGAGAAATTTATAGTAAAGTTTAAGTAAACGTCTACATATTTTGCAATCTTTATAAGTATAGAATATTTAACAATCAGTATAACTTAGGTTATCGTGGCTACATACATATATATTTATTTTAGAATTTCTTTGTCAAACCTCATAGACAAATATCCTTATAATAATCGAGTCATATATGCGACAAACCGATATGGTTACTGTATACCTATCCTAAAAAGGTTACACTTGAATTTTTTTTGAGTACAATTTTATTAAAGGATATGCTTTTAAAAATAGTGTTATGACAAAAATAGATTTGTGACATAATGATGCATTAATATGTATCTGTAAAACCAAATCTATTATCTTACACACCTAAGCATGGGAGTACACAAGTATATAAAACATAATTAAAAATGGAACTAATATTCTCGGATTACTACGCGTTATTTTATTATCATCACAATCAAAAGAGATCACGGTTGCTACAAAGTAACTGAGTCGGGAGTATGTAGCTTTTAAAAATAATAAAAAACACGTTGTAATCCGAAATTATTAGTTTCATTTAAAGAATGCTCCCAAAAGTCTTCGATCTCATAACGTAATAATAAATGTATGGAACGTTATACGCGTAATTGTATTGTAATATTACCACGAAGTAATTACTGATGATCGACCTAATGCAGCTTTGTGACACCGTCGGATTATTACATCAGTATTTGGTGTTTACTCGCGAGTTGCTTTGCCAACGCCTGATTTAACTAAGCTTAGCCACGCTGTTATAATTCAAAAGACAATGAATTGAATTCAATATACCTTTAGTTTTATTACAATTTACGTTAAGTACATCGCAATAGCTTGTATTAATTGCATTGATATACTCTTTTTTTGTGGTCATTTGCTTTTATTGTTGCTTTTATTTACCGTTGATAAGACTTAAAAGTTATTGAAAGACAGAAAGGACTGAGATTTTAAAAGGTAATGGTCGTGCTAATCCTCATCGGTTTTTATTCATGTACCATATTGATCTTTAGGTTACAAATTGGTGAGGTAATAGGTAAGAGATCTAATATAGTTTTTTATTGATGCTATCTTTATACCTTTAGAGTTTGATAAATCGACATTCGTTCGTACCAGTCCTCAAGTGACACGGTTCTAGTCACGCATATGACTTCAGAAAATCAATATAAAGTCGTGTAACTTGTTACAGTTTCTTTTTGATTATAGTGAATAAAATTCCTTCATGCCGTAACCTTATTAATTTTCATAATATATACCTTATGATCTTAGTGTTTGAGATGAAGTTTGCATGTAACGTCATCTGTGATTTTTAATGAATATATTAATGTATTTCCCTCGTCCAATAAATACGATTCATAAGTTAGATGGTTTTTCTTATTGTACTATATATTTTTTTATTTATATAATATTTTCAGTTAAGGGATTATTTTCTATGAGAGTTGCAAGTGTTAAATTCTCATTTTGTTTTTGCTCTTTCACATCAATTTGCGTCAGTTAACGTTTTTGCGGGTATCCCTACATTAGCTGACAGTCTTAAGGAAACATTGCTTACGAGCAAAATAGTGATTACATATATTTAAATATGATTTATTATGAGCGTTTATTGCGTAGAATTATAACGTATTTGAAAGTACAGTATTTTAGCATAGATACGTTCTTATATTAATTATAGGAACGATTTAATTTCATTTAAATACATATACAGGGTGACTGGTGAATTACTATCGATACTTGAGGACGTGATATTTGACGATCATATATGCCAAAATAAAAATTAATATAACATAAATATTAATAAACTTCTGAGTAAAGTTAACCAAAAGTTGTGTAATTAATTACGCATCGTGTGAACACCCTACAGATTAGGTATACACTGACACTCACACATACGCGTGTCGTGACGTAGTGTTGTATCAGTACGCCGCCGCACGCGTCCACACTTGAACACTTGGAACGTGTCAACACTTTATTTATTTATACGGAAATTTTGTCAAAAATTAAGTGCCTATTTTTTTTACATAATTCGAATGAGAATCATGTACCGAGTATGCTCCTTAAATATTGATAGTAATTCACCAGTCACCCTGTATATATATTTTTTGTATTTTATTGAAGATTCAATATTATCTAATATATTAAGAGTAAAAAAATGTGTTGTACGTTTTTATGAATACACACTGTTTCTTTCTTTACCGGCAACTAAATTATTCGACAATAATGCATAAGCAAATTACGATTTGTTCTACATATTATATTGATATCCATGTCGTCGGATAAATCTTCTATCTAACAATCTATATTAAAAAATATCTATGTAACAATTGAAATAGAAATATTGTTTAGAAAAATAAGTCATATTAAAATATATGACGAAGTCGAATTATTATTAAATTTCACTTATTAGAGCGCCGCGGATAATAAGTTAAGTATAGCACCAAAGCACACTGTACCTCAAAATAGGAATATTTTAAAAGAAAATTTATTTCCAGCTGGAATCTATGTAGGAGTATAGTTTTAAAAACTTTAAAAAGTTCTTGATCATAAAAGCACAGGAAAAATGTTGAAAACTAGCGTGATGGTTTATTTTCGATGTATTTTCAAATTAAAAACTGAGCATTCTGCTAGTCCATTGACGTGCGTTACTCCCTCTTCAAATTTTTGAATTGAATTATAAAACGTATTCAAACTGCAATGCAGCGTATTAATTATAAAAACAGAGATTGTTTTTAAATAAAGGTATTTGATAAAAAATAACTATGTCAACTTGTTGTTTTTTTTTAATTTGATATATTTTCTAAATGGATATTCATAACTGTTTTAGCTATGTAGAACTTATTTATGTTTAGTACATCTTACTAATCATACATACATGTATGACTGTAGAATAGGTACGAGAGTTTTTTTTAGTTACTGTCTAACAACACAAATAATACACCCGTTCGTTTATACTAAATTTTTTAATAAAGGTTACGAAATTAATACACGTAGGTAGAATCTGATGCTACATATATAAGGAGCCTATACAAAGAAATAGTATTAACACTTCTCATAAAACTTTAAGCAAGTGACAAGTGTAACATGAACTTATTTCTTGTATTGTTCCCAATTGTGATTCGGAGGAGGTATCGATATAATAAAGAAAGACCAATTAAGTTGGGTCAAGGTTCGCAATACGTTTACCTTCGAACTTGTTCTATTGTCGCCTCGAGCGAAACGACCCTTTGTTTCTAACGCCCTTATTTAAAAGACTTTATTAACAATTTAAGGAGTTTTAATTTCTTTTTGAATTTGAGATGTATTTGGAGAAAAATATTTGAGAATTTTTATTTAACGTTGAAACATGAAAAGAAGAATTGTAGAAACTTTTACAGGTAGGTATTACTAGTATTATTAAATGAAGTAAAATATATTTAGATCTTATTATTGTTATCTATTAGAAAATGCAATCGCATATATTTAAGAGTCCTTATCTATTTGTGAAGCTCTTTCTCCATTGGCTTAGGGTTGGAGCGATGCTTCATACAGATAAAGCCCTCTTTATTGTCTTCTGTAATTGAAAGGTCGGAGATATTTCCCTGTGAGCATTTAAATTGGTACCAGCTGCCTGCGCTTATTGTAAAATGGCACATTTTATTTTTTCACTGCCATCAATACTTAAATTGAACAATACATAGTGAATTCATTTTATTCGAAGCTTAATGCTATGTTGGACCTGAAAATTATTTTAGTAATTGAATTAACGCTGTTATAAAAAATTTAAAACCCGACCAATGTTTACATGATATGATAAATTTGGAATTATTAATTTTATACGTTGAAATATCAACAAAAACTAATATATTGATAGTGAATGTAAATATTCGGTATAGGCAACTAAATACATAAAATTTTTACTATATGAGATTTTAATAAATTCATCTATTTGAATAATGCGAATTGGATAGAATTTAATGAAAAACGAGTTATTACAGAATGAACTATAAATTAAAATATATCATTTCGCCTTATTGTTTGAAAGTTAGGTTGCAATTAGTTTATATATTTAATATTAACTTTTGATATCATTTCTATTATAGCAAGTGACCTCGAGTCGATTCGTGCGTTATTCAATGAAAAGGAGAAGGAACTGTCTGTGGCTGTGGCGAAGGTGGAAGAACTGACGCGGCAACTTGAAGAATTAAGACGAGGAAGAGTCCAGACAGCACCGCCTTCAGCCCACGAACTGGATAAATTACGACGAGAACTTATGGTATGACTCATTCTGTTGCTTATGCTATAAATATTTCATAGCAATACACTACAAGCGATGTAAATAAATTGAAATATAAAAATGGTTTAAACATTCAAGTCACATTTGTTTTTAAAGAAAACATTGTATGTACAATAAAACATACTATTCCAGTGATTCAGAGTTTAAAATGTACGGCAGTTATTTGCTTCAGTTATATGTTCGAGAGCGCTTGCATATTGTGTTTTATGTTGCAATGTGGACAAAAATACTATTGACTTTCTTGCTGAGTCCACCCAACAGAATTGCTATCAGAACTAGCATTGTCGAATGTTGCTTTATTATATACGAGTTTGAAACAAATAAGTTTAAAAAAAATTTCAAAGTTTTTCTGAAAAAGTCGTTCCCTTCCAGTAATATTTAATATGCTTATGAATGAGATTCCATACAATTAATTAGCTTTTTTAATCCTATGTTAATAGGTTACCATCTGCTTAAAACACATAACTACAAATCAATTAGTAGTTTTTGTTACCAACAAATATTAGTTCCATTATTACATTGACTATAGGTGTTGATTTTCATTGCAACACATTTGAATTTTCAACTGATAATATTAAATTTAGAATTAATACAAAATTAGAAGGAGAGTATTTCGAGATCGAGAATCATGTCTCTTGATGAAATAATTACCTTTGATGAAATAATTTGTAAGATAGTGGCGTCTAAAATATGAACGTAACAGATGTGGGATGTAGATGTAAAGTGGATCGAATAAAAGGGAAATTCTAAATTGAATTAGTGCGTAGGTTTGTGGGCTGTTGGAATTCCGTGTTGAAATTAAATTGATGTTGAATATTTTCTTTATAAGGTACATTTCATTTGTCTATTATTCTATATGGTTTTGGTAAATTATATAAATATGTTCTAAATTAAAATGCGATTCAATAATAATCTCATTTATATTCGTGTTATTCAAAATTTAACAATATGCAATAGGGATTACTGTAGTACAGATGTGTCTCTAAAAAAAGGTATGACAAATGACATCTCACAATTGTGTAGCAGTTACCAGTAACCTACGTCCCTTTATAGTCAACGATATAATAATTGTTTTAAATTGAGATGGCTTCAGGGTGTTTAGGTAAGAAAGACCGAAAATATTTCTACCTTTGGATTTTTCACCTTGTTTCGTCTAATCACTAAAAAGTATGTTATAATAACAATAATACAAAAAGACGTTTGTTTAATTTGAAAGTTAGGATTATTAAAATTTCGTACCTATTATTTGATGAGTTTTATTTTCAAAATTCTTCAATAGAAAGCAGTATCCAAATAACTGACAAAAAATACAAGTAATAGTTTAATTCCTCTAAATGTTATTGACTTACAAAACTCTTTTTTAATATACGATTTTTACCACACGTTTATTGCTTATAAGTTTTTTCAAAGTCGTGATGTCGTAGTCGAATCGTGATGCGAAAATACATTTATATCGGCACGCGGTGTATTCGTACCGTGTTAGCCGCCAAGTAGGTTGCGGGCATTCTAGAGGTCTTGATAGTAGGAGTATATTCTAAACACTTCTCTTGAATCGTGTTTAATAATAGATGAAATAGACAAGAGAAAAAATCATCTAATATTTTGATACATCATTAAATTTGTTTTAAAGATATCCGAATATAGAATTTTGACTAACATGCTATTGAAATAAAGCAAACACTATTTAACTATCGGTAATCTAAGAGAGAAGAAGTTTTTAAAAGGTCAAGGGAATTGTAAACATCATTTTTAACGATACAACTGACCTGTACATAACATTGTTGTAAACTCTTTATCTAGTTAGGAAATGTTATACGTAGGGATAAAGAAAATGGACCGTATTACTCGTTATATAAAAATTCAGTGTTCTTTACATACTTTGCTTCGAGTTATCCGACCTATGTATCCATTAGTAAATTATAAGAATCATATGTAAATACATTCTTGAAAATCTTTTACCGTGTCTTTTAATATACCTTTAATATACGGAAATATAATATACCTTCCAAATTAAATTCATCCACCTGTAAAACCAAATTAATTCGATTCACTTCATTATACCTTAAGATTTGTCGTGGGACTAATTTTCCCCTGTATATCGTGCCAGCACTTGATTCAAATATAATTTGACAATTTAGTAATACGGTCGTGTTGTTTCGTCTGAAGTGACCTCGCATACAGAGTTGATTAAGAAAAAAATACATCATACTGAGTTATATAGTGAAGTGCATTCGTAGTTTAATGGTGCTAAGATGTGAAAAATAAGTTGTGGTACGAACAAAATCAATATTATCAACCCTAAAGATGTAAAAAAACAAAGTTTTATCTATTGTTTATTATTTATGAATCAAGGCCTATGGGTTTTTTGGTGAAGGCATCAACTTATTTTACGATAGGCTATAGAAAGTTAAATATTAAAACGAAAAGTGAAATCGATAAAGCATACGTATAGTTTAACCAGCGATATTTCTTCCTCGCAAATTCCAGGCCATGAGAGGCTGGAATTTAATAAGAAAAATCAAATCGATTTAGTTATTTGCAGCCATTTTTTAAATGACTATCTAATATAAATTTATATGGTGAATAAATGAATTACTGCAATGAAACAATAGAATTTATATGCAATGTTTGTGTTTCGTTAGTTTTGAAAACATATTTACGTATAATATTATTCCGTATAGTATCCATATTATATATTCATATTGCTAAATGTATGTTTTGTCGCATATTGGCAAATAATTATATTTGAGTATACTCAGATCTATATTCTCATCTGAATATCCAATTTTGTCGTTGTCTAAATTTACGGCGCCAATCTAACGGAATACCTCTGAGATGAAATTTTGTAGACAGTTCCCGCCTTGACAGGCTTCGATAAAAAATGTCCTGATTCACTTTTTGAAAAATTACGGGCTAATTTGTTTTTAAAGAGAAATGCCTGGCCTTTTTTGTCTTAATATTAAAATGCCTTCCTTTACCGTTTGGCTGCGCTGTTTCGTTTTCTTATTTGAACATTATAAATTTATATTCGCTCTAGTTGTTTCCTGTGACTTTATTTTATAAATCGTACTTTGTGTATTAATATATCAGTAAGCCTGTTAATCAGAGTTATTTTCTTTATGCTTAAGTTAAGGACACATTACTGTAGTTTAAAAAAAATCTGTGTAGTCATCTGTGAAATAAAAAATTTATTAGTGGATAAATTTTAAGTGATATTTAACATTGATTTATTAGGAACAATTCTAAAGCCATAACTTCAAAATCAAATGCTATTGTCAATTCTAATTAAAATTTTCAGTTATATGAGCGTATCGGATCTCATAATTACGTGCGACATGGCAATTTCAAAGCCTCATTAATACATATAATTTAGCCGCTGAGTGTGCAATCATACGTAAATTAAATATCGATATGCTTGTCATTGCAATATATTATCGCATTCAGCTATCACAATCAAATTATCTAAACGAAGTCCAGAAAAAAAACATATTGTATGTTAAAGGTTAATATATAATATGATTTTTAACAATATTATTTGTTTTCGTTGTTTAACAATTGGATAAGAATAAAAAATTGAAATTGAAATATGTATGTATATTTAATTATGGTATTTGTTCGAGTAGTGTTTATATATTCTATAAATAGGTGTCTTTAAAATGAGATGTTAAATGAAAATATATTAAATAGTCAATAGTGTTATTATCGGATAAGTTTTTCAATTTCTTTGACGATCATTCTTTATGCGAAACGGCAAAATATGGAATCGGTCTCGATGTTGAGTAGAAAATTCGTTGACATGGAAAAAGTCATTCGTATGGAAGTGATTCAACCCGAAAATGGATTGGTGGTCAGATAAATCGCTATAATAATGGCTTTTGGAATAAATTGAGCTAGTTTTATTTTATTGTGCAATTGTTTTCGTGCACATTTTTTTATTTACATTATTGTGCACAGGTGTATTTTACAACAATTTCAAAATATAATTACTGTATAGATGTTAATGGTTTTAAGCGGTCTTTATAGGGTTGTGCATGTCAAATAAAAATCCTTTGTTCCTTTGTTATTTCCGGGTGATAATTATATAAGAGCAATTCTCTTCTTCTCTAGGAATGTTTTGTTATACATGTATATATTATAAATATATATTCTAATTAGATGACAATTTAGTTCTTTAATTTTCTTCTCGTAGACCATGTAACTGTTTTGTGCAAGTGTTTTTTCCTTTGAGGTACCTTGTTAAATAATAAATTTAGCATTCAAAAATGTATATTTTACATATAATTTAATAAACTTTAGATTTAATAAATTTCTTTAACTCACGAATTATCGTAAAAGAGTTATGTTTAAGTAATAATAATAATATAATTGACGAAAGTAATATAGACCATATTTTACTTCCAAAGTTATCCAGATGTCTCATAATACATAGTTTAGAAATCTCAACCTGAAAACAGCTCGGGCTAGTCGCGAAATAAATTAACCTATCTGTTTCGCTTTATTCAAAAACAATTTAGTACTTAATATTATTTTATATAAATTTTATTAAATTTGTTGGAGTTAGAATCCCCTCGAAGTTTTTAAAGAGTATGACGCCAACGTAACTGACGTCACCAATGTCTTTCTTCTCGACTGTGATCAAGCTCGCAGACTGTTGAAAGTAGCCTGATAGACGGTTAGGCGAATCCTTTATTTTGAAGAGGTCCGATCCCTGTAACGGCTCGAGCGAGATTGTTTTTAATGCATACCCTCGCCTCTATTTTTACAAACCAACAATCAATGTTGTAACTGCACTTGCAGAGGTGACTACGCACGTGATACCTGATAATTTTAACCATACATAATTATTAATTACGTAAATAATAGGTATTAGCTCCCATATATCAATTAACTTATAGGCCTTGTCATCAAGTCATGATATGTATGAAATAAAGATTCATTACTGAAGTGATATGACAAAAAGATCCTTTTAAATTGAAGAAATACCAAAACATTTCTGATCCTACTTTGCATTCATAACTGAACATGGGAGACTTGTGACATGGTAATATTTTATGTTCCCTACAAAACCAATTGCTTTCCACGTATTTACAAAGTAATTCAAAAAGTTTTCTACATATGACTTAAACCGTTGAACGGCATTATGTAAATGTTTGTGAATGTTATGTCAGGATTTACTTGTTGTGTGTAACTCTTCTAAATTATTTATATATTCGAAGAGTTAATGTACATTAAGATTTATTTCATTCTATTGTAATGGTTTGTTACATATTACTTTAAGAAAAATAAGTTCATTTATACTATAAAATTTAATTGGTTAAATTAAATAAATTACAGTACCGGAATAAGCTGAATGAGCAACAAAATGGAAGACTGTCAGCACAAAGAGCAGCTTTGGGAGCAAGGCAGGAGGAAATGCGTAGTATTGATCGTCGAGTTTCTGAATTACAAGCAAGATTGTTGAGAAAACGAGCTTTGAATAGACAGCTTGCAGCAGCACACCGACAGCCACAACAAAGGTGAGTTACGTCACTTCATCCTCATAAGATCATTAATAATTCAATTCATAAGTTTCATATTATTTTGTATAAAATTACCTCATAATAACATTTTAAATTATAATTATATTTCTGACAATGAAAAATGAAGTTCCAACTGGGTCAATGATTACGTAAAAGTATACAGTTTTTCAGGAAGAAAATGCACTTAATGTGATTTTTTACTTGAGGATCTGTTGATAATGACAAAAGAAATGCTCCATTTATAAACAGTTTCACTTGTTTGGATTTTGTAAGACAGTTATTTAACATTTACTAATTACTTTAAAGTTTCTTTATGAAATTCCACACTTTACTATAAATTGTTACTTTTCTAAAGGAATAAAAATTTATTCCCAGAAATGAAATCTAGTATTTTCGCGAGTTTTATTCATTTAAATGAAACTAATATTTTACGGATTACACTCCGCGACATTATTTTTGTAAAAAAACTACATACTCCAAACGTTTCCGCTACTTTACAGCAACCGTGATCACGTGATATTTTACAACATCTCGTCTGTCCGTTATACTCACTATAAATTAGCAATGATGAGCGTCGATTCTAAAATATACGTCCCTTAGGTTCTGTTTTTCAGAAAAAAAAACCTCATTTTCTTATTGGATATTAGGTATATGAAAATATCTACCATTTAAAATCACCTTGAATCTCCTTTTAGGACAAACAATCCAACTCCAATGCAACAATTGCCGAACTATCCGCCAAACACAAACCAACCAAAGAATCAGCCGGCGAGAGGAAACGTGGCAGCGGTAGAACCTTACAATCATGTACCACACGCGCAGAGCTTGCATAGTAATAACTTCCAAGTAAGTACAAAACTCAATCTATTGCGCTATTTATATTCAGTAATTATTAACATGCTAATTCATATAATTTATTTTACATGAAATTAACTACCGCGCATTACAAAAATGTATTTATTTTTGTACAGGCAATGAAGCAGAATGTAGTACAAAATAATGTGCCATTAAAACAGCTGACTCAAACTGACAATATTCAAGGTCACTTAACGCAACAAGAAGCTCATTTCTTACAACAAAAGCAAATGATGAACCCTCTGTACAATGGTCACTACCCGCATATGCCTAATGTACAAGATAGCCAATATCAAGGGCAATACAATAATAAACAAGATGTTAATTCGTTTGCTCATGTACAACAAGGCATCACAAATTCTTACGATCAAAAAGCAATGTTTGATCATATGAATAAGTACAACGAATATCCAAAACAACCACAGTATAGTCCCAACAGTACGAGCAGTTCTAACAGCAATCAAACCGGTAAGGAATTAAAAATAAATGAGCAAGAATTCCCTCCAGAGTTTGCTGCAAGTAAATCCGACCCTAAATATCAAACATTGCCGTATAATACAAAGTTTCCTCAAAACGTCAATGGTAAATCAAAACAGCCCGATGTAAACGGCAAAAGTAATGAACAAGATAACAAAAACCAAAGCGCCCCGAATATAAATCATATGACGGTTCATTCTACGCCACTTTCAGTTGTCAATAAGAGTTTGGCGACTCCTCTTAATCAGAATGAAGCAGCATATCAACAGGAAAATACATATCAATTGCAAAAATCTGATTCTTCGAGCAGATGTAATCAGGAAGGCAAAGAAAATCATGCATATCCACAAAACTCTAGATTAAGTCAAAATAGTAGTCAGAATACTTCAGAAGGTTCACGGAATTCTGGAGGAAAGAATCAACAAAGCAGTGCCTTGAAAGGCAGTTCGCCAAGTTTGCTGTTGAATACTACAAGTGCTAGTAGTTCTATCGGATTTGGGGTAAGCAAGTTATTCAAATTTTATCAAAACCATACATACTTCATTCGTTTATATTTATTATCATTTCGCTTTACACTACATCAGTTGCGTGCACCCACATTTGTAAATAGCACCATCAATCATTCATTGCAGAAACCCGTATCGAGTGTAGCACCTACATCGGTTCAGGTCTCGAGCGGCAAACCATCACCCATATATCAGACATCCTCAACAAAGATCCAACCAGTTCAACCACAAACCGTTCAGACCCAAAGCATTTCTGTACCACCATCAAATCATGTCACTAGTAATATGGCAAATTCCCAACCCCAGATATTAAGGAACACTGCGTCAGGGCTATCAGCTAGCACAACAAGCACTAACTTCAGCGGTCCAAACTCATCATCACAAAGTATTTTGCTATCTCCACCTCAAAGTGCCAGTACTCCTCTGTCAACGCCAGATGTTAGCGGGACTGACAAATCACCTAAACCAGCTTTACCTCCTAAACCCACTATTAAGGTATGTTTTACTTTGAACGTTAAAAAATTCATGTATCACAAACAAGCTTAAATATTTCATTGCTAACAATTTCATTTTATTTCAGACTCCACCGAGGCAAACAATAAATCATGATGCAGGATTCAATCAATCAAATGAAACTATTAACATGCCAACAATAACAATGCCTGATTCGTGTAATGATAACGAACAGCAGAATCACAGGGAACTCAGCAATGGAAGTAGCAATAACGAGATGATTATAAAAGCTCGACCATTAACGATCAGAAAACCGCCGCTAAGTGAACAACCCAAACTAAGAAACGTTAACAATATCAAAAACGGCATCAGTGTCAGCATGAACCGGCGAATAGAAATGCCACCAGCATTCCTATTCCCAGAAATGGATCATTTGAATCACGATTCAAGTGAGATGCAAAACGGACAAAAAGACAAAACGAAGCAGAAAGATGAAGTCGACAGATCATTGAATAATAACATATCTTTAGTTTCGAACGAAAGGGAAGATAGTAAAGATACTGTTATTACTGATATAACGGAGCAAGTCAGCTCGGTGGATTTGAACGGTCAGGATTCTCAGAGGTCTGAGAATATACTGAGGCGGTCAAAGAAAGGCAATTTGAAACAGGGCGGGAAAACCGCTCTCGCGAGGCGAGTCAGCTTCGACCCTCTCGCATTGCTATTGGATGCGAGTTTAGAAGGTGAATTGGAGCTTGTCAAGAAAACTGCTACTCAGGTGCGTATATAAAATCTGTTTCTCACTAGTTTCTTACTTTGTCAAAACCTTTAAATGTATTGCTTATATTTTCATTTCCAGGTGCAAAACGCAAGCGCTGCGAATGACGAAGGGATCACAGCTCTCCACAACGCTATATGTGCTGGTCATTTCGAAATTGTTAAGTAAGTATCAACTTAACTCATTAAACGAATTTAACGAGAGTTTATATGAAAATGATCATGATTTTTTTTAGGTTTTTGGTGGAGTTAGGTTGTGATGTAAACGCTCAAGATTCTGACGGCTGGACGCCTCTTCATTGTGCCGCTTCTTGTAACAACCTGCCTATGGTCAGATTTCTTGTTGATAACGGTATGGCTATTCTATATATAATATCTATCAGTATTTTTCCATAGTTTTCTTCATAACTTAGAATTTAAATTTTCCAGGCGCTTGCATTTTTGCAACAACTCTCTCTGATCACGAGACAGCTGCTGAGAAGTGTGAGGAAGACGAAGAAGGTTTTGATGGTTGTTCTGAATACTTGTACAGTAAGTTTTTTATCATATCAACTTATATAAATAATAATTCATATTGAAATAATCGACTCAATTTATATTTTTTTTCAATTTAAATATATATCTTAAATGATTTGTAAACATATTGACGTTAAACTTAAAATCGAATAAGGAGAACAAATGTGTTTTTCTAAAACGTATTTATTATTTTGAATTTTTTTAACAAATCCTCGTATCGCCCTGACTTGTAAACATAAAAAATTCGAGTAACGCTTAAGTATAAACAAACAAAATTCTTCATGAGAAATGCGCAATCGTTGGCTGTAGATGATAAATAACAAGACCAATAGACATTCACATCTCGTATGCCGTGGTCACGGTTGGTGTAAAGTAACCGAAACGCCTTGATTATATACAGGGTGACTGGTGAATTACTATCGATATTTGAGGACGTGATATTTGACGATCATATATGACAAAATAAAAATTAATATAACATAAATATTAATAAACTTCTAAGTAAACTTAACCAAAAGTTGTGTAATTAATTACGCATCGTATGAACACCCTACAGATTAGGTACACACACACACACAGACGCGGCGGCGGCGTAGTGTTGTATCAGCACGCCGCCACACGCGTCCACACTTGGAACACTTGGAACGTGTCCACGCTTTATTTATTTATACGGAAATTTGGTCAAAAATTAAGTACCTATTTTTTTACATAATTCGAATGAGAATCATGTACCGAGTATGCTCCTTAAATATTGATAGTAATTCACCAGTCACCCTGTAGACATAAAACGATAAAAAAACTCGTATTATCCAAAAAGATTAGTTTCATTCAAGCAAATCTTTGCAGGTGTTCAAGAGAAGCTGGGTATCATGAACGGAGGTACGGTGTACGCGGTGTTCTCATACACAGCTTGTAGGCCGGACGAGCTGTCGTTTGACAGCGGCGCCCGGCTCCAGGTGTTGAGGAAAGGAGACGACAACGAACGGGAGTGGTGGTGGTGTCGCGACCACACCTCCGCAGAGGGATATGTACCGAGGAACTTGCTTGGGGTGAGTCTCTGATATATAGACTAGACGTAGTCTAGACTAGTAGACTTATTTCAGTTATAGACTTAGTCTTAAACTAGTGGAATTATTTCAGTTATAGACTTAGTCTTAGACTAGTAGAATTATTTCAGTTATAGACTTAGTCAAAGACTACATTCAGACTACATACTACGCAGATATTAGATAATTAATTTATTCATAATATGTATTATAATAATCTTTGACGATACTATTTTAAATGGTACGGGTTGATTGCGTTAAAGAAAACGTGTAGGGTTTTATTTATTAAACTACATATGTTAGAAAATTTGGTATTGTAAAAATATATAAAAGGAGGCAACTAAATACTTATCAAATTTTTAAATGCCAGATAAATCAAAACACAAGTTTCCTAGCATTGACTTCATAATAATAATAAGTTTTTTGACATCATTATATTGTTATTGCTTTAAGAGGAATCAGTTTTAATAATAACTTTCATGTGATTTTAATTTAGTTGTATGTGATAAATGTTGATTAATAGTTGTTAACTTTTAATGAGATTCTCTAATATTGTTTTTTTCTTTCCAGTTATATCCAAGAGTAACCCCACAGCAGGAATGAATAAATAACGGTCTAAAAAACGGCTTAATTTATAAACTTATCAATGTAAATAGATCGGGTAATTTTTATTTTTTATGTATTTATATGATTGTAATGTAACAAGATATATATTGTATACAATTTTGAATATATAAATAAAATATTTTGTAAATATTTAATATTAGAGTTTTTAAGTTCGTAACGATTGAGATTATAGTTATTGTACATTTTATAAATATGAGTCAACATTGTAATTGGTTATAAAAATTTATTATTATAAGAATTTCTGAACATATTGTGAAATATTATTGACAATACAAATAAAAATATTGCAAACAAATAAATTACATTTTATTTCCTCATCCTGCGTCTGTTTAAGTGACGATTGTATAAATTTTGTGCAAAATATAGATCAATTTTTTGTTTTTTTTTCTTGAAAGTTGCTTGTTCTCTCAAATATGCGCTTTGCGAGAATTATTTTAAGGATCAAAATCCTTGTACATTTGATTCAACAGCGACAAGTATGACCAAGATGTACTTATAACCTGAAAATATAAAGATCATATATTCATTTAAAAGATAGTATGTGCGAGTACAGTATTGAAATAAAATAAACAGCTAGCCAATTTCGAGAGTAACATTATTTTTGTTTTTTTTTTTTTTAACTTTAGACCCAGTTTCACCAATCATGGTAGAATAAGTAACATCTGTTGGAAGTTTCTAACGACTTTGTGTCCGTGTTTTTACTGAATTATTTTATTTATTGTGCTTACTGTTATAAAATACATGTATAAATTGAATCATGGATGTACATTCTAAGCCTGTAATAAATAAGTTTGCCTGGAAACGACAGAGAAACAGATCATTAGGCCACGTGACCACACGGACGCTTGTGATTGGTGGAATGAGTTAGAATTATTAGTTGATTTTTATGCTATTGAAGATTGCCGGATTTGATGCTATGCTAAACCTGATTTTCAAGAAGGATTTCACTGCGAGATAGTCGTTTTTGATATAAAGTAAATGAAGTACGTAACGTTATTTTAAATTTCCTGTGTGGCCATATAAAAATCTTTATTTTGACAAAATTTGCAGATTGCCGCCTTTGATTCTATACGACTCATATAACACAATTTATTGACAACACGATTTTGACAAGTTACACCTAGTAAATTGAAAAGAAAGCTTCTTGTGTGCTAAATGTATGCAGCTAACGACGTATAAAATTTGGTCGCATTAGCTTACAAGTGACGTATCGAGATATACAGGGTGACTGGTGAATTACTATCAATATTTAAGGAGAACACTCGGTACATGATTCTCATTCGAATTATGTAAAAAAAATAGGTACTTAATTTTTGACCAAATTTCCGTATAAAAAATAAAGTGCGGACACGTTCCAAGTGTTCCATGTGTGGACGCGTGCGGCGGCGTGCTGATACAACACCACGCCCCCGCCGCGTGTGTGTGTGTGTGTGTGTGTGTGTGTGTGTGTGTGTATACTTAATCTGGAGGGTGTTGACACGATGCGTAATTAATTACATAACTTTTGTTTCACTTTACTTAGAAGTTTATTAATATTTATGTTATATTAATTTTTATTTTGTCATATATGATCGTCAAATATCACGTCCTCAAGTATCGATAGTAATTCACCAGTCACCCTGTATACGATCAAAGTATAAAGTGGTGCATCATGGCAAACGTACCGTTTTAAACGCTAGAGTTTCCATTTGGTCGTCTTATAACAAGAACGAATAATTTGGTTGGTAGTCTCTCATTTGATCATGACGTTTAATAATGCGTTGTTAATGTGTCATCGTGGGACGTAAATATTTTAACAAACATTTATAATTTTTAAGGTTGGTTAGTAAATGCTGTGATTAGACTAAACAAACATTGATTGGTGAAACTGGGTCTTAAGCTCGATGATAGGGATTTATCTACAGTTTTTTATTAAAAGGTATGATATGTGTCACAATATAAATTATAAATAAAAAATTATAGATTTAGTGAAAGAAATTTTCGATATATGTAAATTAACTGTTTTAAAACCTTTGTTTACCTTTGAAAACATTTCGAGCGTAAGATCAGAAAATCCTAAAGCAGATAGTTTACACGGCTTGCTAGATCTGAAACAATTTTTATACAATATTAAAATTAATTTGGATTTCAATACAGTTTTAAAGATAGATATGTGATAAAATATAGACTATAAATCGTCAAGACTAGTCACGTTATCTCCTTTTATTAAAAAACACTAGTAAAAGTTTTGATTAAAAAGTAGAAAACATGGACGGTGTTTTACGGATTTTGTATGTAAAATACCGTGAGAAATTTCCGAACCCATTGAAAAGCCGGATAATAAAAGAACACGATTAAATTCCTGCAGCTAAAACTTTTTCACATATTCTATACATGGTGGATATATACTATGAGATACGTAGGGATAATGCCATATACATATATGTGGTACATATGGCATTATATCTACGAATTGTTCTTCTAACAAAAAAATATATATATTTCTTATCATTTCAATATTTATTTCTTTTCATTTTAACTTAAAACCAACAATTCACCAACGTAGTTTCTTTTTACCTTACAATCATAATTGAAATATATTTTCTGGATTTGTTGTTCCTTTCATACCAAGCACATTGATAAGCTGCTTCCGCGACGCCAGAACTCTAGAATATAAAAAAATTTAATAAGATAAGTATACAAATCAATGAGAAGATAGAAAACAAAAAAAAACATTTAAATATAGATGCATAACATTTTATAACATGTTAATAAAATCTTTGTCTAACTAAAAACAGAACGGCTATAACATAATACAATTTAGAGGCTCTATATGTAAGGATTATCATAAAAGTATTAGTACCTTTATTCTCAAAATAGCGACCGTGAGAAAATTTAAAATCCTTCCTTAAATAAAAATGTGTTCTTAAAAAACTCCCCGATACTAAAATGATAACTTTATTGACTATTCTGTAACTAAAAGGTTTTATTTTCGAACTCAAAGTTAAATCAGTATTCTTCCAGTTACAAGGGTAAACGAAAGCTCAGCTTAACTCACTTAACCTTCATTTCAGAAAAACTATTGCAACAAAACTACGAAGTTACTTCAACTTTGTCTAATCGAAATCATTAGGGAGTAAGAAACTTCTTCTTAAAAGTTCTCAGTCCACAAAAATCCTATTTTACAGACGCTGTATAAAAATAGACTTCACCATATTAAAAAAAAATTCTGCTCTGTTAAACGTGCAAAACTTTACAATTTTACATAACTTACCATGTCAATTAGCTTTTGTCCAGGCCAAGCTAACACAAATATCGCAAACACAATGCCAAGTGAAGCTGTTACATTCTTCAAGAACATTCCATTAGCGATCTAAAATTGAAACGTTATTTTTGGAGGAGTTAGGCAACATGAAAGTTAAAGTAACTGCAACCTCTTATTTACTAAGTTGCTTATTTCTATAAATTACCTTCTAGCGAAATTCAACAATGACTAAACAAAATAGTGTCTAATATGTTGAATTGTAACATGCATGTATTATAAATTTTCAAAACCGTATACACATAAGAAATCATTAATAACCATACATTACCAAGAAAAATAGCTTTATTTTATAAGTATTTAAACAGGTCCGCCCTTTACCATCCAAGCGGCCGGGACAAGTGATTACTTAGTACTTTCGCGACCCATCATACCCTAATGACATTAATTTAGAAGTAGGTACATATTATATATTATTATATTTTAGGTAGTATAGTAGTGGTATTTTGTAGGTATTATATATTATTGGGTAACAAAAACTTATTTTTTTATTTACAGAATACTTATATTAAATTTTTCACATATATGTTCATATATATGTTTTCTAGTATATATATAGTAGATATCAATTTTACACAGCAATCACTCAAAAAGACAGACATTGAAACTTAACTGAGAATTATTTTTTATGAACCTCGAATCAATTACATTTTAAAGAAATACTTACAATTGCCAAAAAAACCATAGCAGCAAATGACGATTGATGAAAACGACAATTGGGTAAATATAACTGGTCCAAAAATATCATTCAATCTTTCGGTTAACCTGAAAATAGAAGAGGGGTAGATACCTTATGTTTTTTATGTTCATTTCATTAATTTTCCTCTACAGGTAAAAGTTACGTATGTGGTAGTGAATTTATTTCAGAATCAAAATAACGATTTAAAGATACCGTAACAAAGTCTGATGTTTTCTGGCAATTTTTTTCATAACGTCACAGTCATCTTCTATAATTTGTCCATGAGAAGGTGGTCCCAAATTTTTAAGGTCTATTTGCACTAAACACAGCAGAGTGCTTAAGTCAAAGATGAGATTTACTAGGACTAAGTCACAAGCGACGTAGATACAAAGATGGGATACAATACCTACAATTATTAATTATACTAATTTTTTACTCTTTCTACAAAAAGACTTTTATTTTAAAGAGAATTTCTATCTGAATCTTACAAAAAAAAATTATAGAACGTTAGGCCCTTCTTCCTTTTTAATAAATACAATTCCAACCGTAACTTTTAAGTAAAATGGTTGACTTACAATAAGTATATACATTTAAATAATACTATGAAATAGACATCTTTGATTCTTAAATTTAAATTGAACAATTTTAAAACTAACATTCGAGAATAATAGAAAAATATTGACTTACATAAAAGAAACTGTTGAACCCAAAATAATGCGTATTTGAAGTTGGAGTCAATGTCACAAAAGAAATAAACTTGTACCATTAATTCATACCTAGGATCAGTTTGAGTTTTGAATTTATAAATTGTGATTAGCAACGGTGAAATGGAAAAACATAATATTGAAACAACTGCGGCTCTGAAAAATGCTGTTGAAAAAATGATTTAATGTAGCAGTGCTTACAAGTTCCTGATACAAATAAGGCTGAGTATAATTCAGAAAACTCGTTTATAAGATAGTAAGGTTAATATTATACAGGGTGACTGGTGAATTA